CGACTATCGCATTGCGATAGTCCAAGTTCGCATTGCGATAGTCGAAGTTCGCGTTGCGAATCTGGAAACTGATTTGCGATACCGGAGATCGCGTTGCGAATTATCGATCGCATTGCGATTTAGTTGGTCATTTGGCAAATCCAAAAAAAAGTTGGTTAAAATCGTATATTATAAATTATTTTTGGTCAATGAGGTTATTTTCTCTATTAAAAGTCCCTATTTTCCTCACCCATCCGATCGTACCCCGCTGCCCCTACCTAACATAGCATCACCAAACAAAGGATGAAGCAACCATAAAAAAAGGGGGTTCAAATAAACAAAGGACATAGAGATAACCCAATGAAGGGAAAAAAAGAAAAAAAACAGAGAAAAGTAAAGATTATCGTCAATGATGGCCTCTTCGATGACCAAATGGTGCATTTGGATTGTGAGAAGGCACGCACGGGTGGGGAGACCAACATATCGTGGAACCAAGACGATCCAACGGTCCAACGATGAGATCGGAGATAAAGAACCCGAAGAGTCTCGACCTCGATTCGTCACCACCGGGTCATCTTTTGAAAAAATATGACCTTCGATTTGTGCTTAGGGCGCTGAGGTGAAGCCGCCCATGAAGTTTGGGTTCGAAAAGTCGTCGGAGGAAAGCAACGCAAGGTGACCGGAGGTGGCCATCACGGCGACCGGTGAGAATCCTCACCGGATTCTGTAAAGAGAATTGAGAGCTTCTCTCTCTAAAAAATAAAACAAAATAAAACAAAAATGAAAAAAATAAAGAATATGGGCTTATATGCTCTCGGCAAAATGACGCCGTTTAGGTGATTTGATTTTCAGAATTCAGTGTGTGGGCTAATAGCTTCCGTGGCCATCCGAGTTTTGTAAGCATTCCATTTTGGCCACGTAAATGAAAGTTTACACTTTATTCTTCTTGCTTTTATTTTTTTCTTATTTACATTCTGATCACTGATTAATTGTTAACATGTTTGGGTTTATTCATATTTTAGTCTTTGATGTTATGTTTGGGTTATTTAAGTTTTCAATGTCATATTTTATATTATTTGCATTGTTAATCCTTGATTTTTACTGATTTTGCTGTTATGGTCATTAATGGTAAATTTTTATATTATATCTCTAATATTTTATTTTCATTAATGGTAAATTTTTATATTATATCTCTAATATTTTATTTTCATTTCGAGTCTGGCCCTTTGCATTTTTCTTATTTGGTGAAGTCCTATTTTGTGTTGTTTTCTTAACTTTCTGCTCTTTTACATTGATGCATTTTATTTCTTGCAATTTTCATTTAATTTATATATGTTTCCTTCATTATCTAGCTTCCTTACATACGCATTTGGTTTAATATGAAATTTATTATGTCATGATGGTTGTATATATATGGTAGTATTTATTAGTTTTAGTTTTAAGTTATACCCTGATTGTCTAATTCATCTTAGTCATTTATACCCTGTATTTAATGCATTAATTTTATTGATTTCTTTCTCAATATGTTTAACCCTTTCTTATATTGTTTGATGGAATTTAGAATTTTGACATTCTCACATGTTAAGACCCCGTATTTTCTGCATGAAATATCTTATATGTATATTTGCTAAACATGTTTTACACATCAAATAGCATATATATATATATATATATATATATATATTGACCCCATTCCCCATTTCGTTTCTTTCCATGGTAAAGTAATATGTATATGTATTTGTTAATAATGTATTTATTATATATTTCATTAAAATATTTATGTATATATATTTTTTTTATTTTTTTCTTAGTCATATTTAAATACTATTAGTTTTTTAACATGTTTATAAATTACATATATAGTTGCATTCACTCGTACATATGAATTTAGGTACATGACATCTTTTAATTAAAATGCATAAGTCTCATGAGCATAACTTCAGTTGATCAAATAATTGGATTAAAGATAATACCATTTCATTTTAGGATTGTTGTGGAGTGACTGTCTTAATGTATAAGAAAGTTAATTTCGATAATTTTAAAATAAAAATGTATCCCATCAAGTGAAACCCTAAAAATTGACTACATGTAAAATTTGGGATTGAGAAAAAGATTATGTTATTTTAATTAAATTTACCGAGAAAATATTGTTAGATCGAATCTAAGATCACATCTCGGTGTATTTTAATAATTGAACATCCTTATTCTCATTAAAGGTTGGTAAAATAATTAATTAACTGTATTTGTTTGATATATGTTTGTAATTTTTTTATTTTTGTATGTATTTTTTAATGGGATCTTAAAATAAATAGCACTAGAATTAATATTGAATTTTAGTACAAAATAGTAATATTTTTTTATTTCGATTGGAGTAATAATTGACTGCTTTAAGGTATAAGAGATCATTTTTTTCGATAGGAAATAATTAAATATTATTGTATTTCATCCTAAAATTCAAAGAATGTTATTTAAAGGGATATCATATTAAAATTAAAATCGAATTTGTAAATTTCATTGCAAATACAACTAATTAATCAACCATGTACCGATTTAGGGCACTATGGGGGGTGTTAATCCTTCCCCACATGTAACTGACTCCCGAACTCAAATTTTTTGTAACGCAGACTATAAATTTGTTGTTTTAATTAAAATTAATATTTTTTAAATGAAAAACATTTTTTTGGGTGCCCGATCACACCCTAATCAAATATCGGTGACGACTCCTCGAATCATATTTTATTATTAAGAGGTCACCAAATTATTCAAGACGAGATCTTATAAAAATCACTTTTTAAAAAATTATTATTTTTAAAGAAAAATCGTTTCAACATGTATGTTTATGTTGATGCATGTTTTCTTGATCAATGGACGCACGAGCAATTTTCATTCTCTTCCTGAGTAGATTGTCTTCATTTTTCACCAGAGTGTACTCTTGAAAACGCACTATAAAGATAAAATTATTAAAATAAAAAAATAAAGAATAAAGATATGATATAATAAAATAAAATAGGAAAAAAAAGAAAATATCAAAGATCAATGACTAACATTAAAATTTATATCGTCGATGATCAACAAAGATGAAAAAAAGAAAATGAATGACCAACACATTTTCAAATATGAGAAATTTAAGTTTTCTAGAAACCTTATTTCGATGTGAATCAATATATATATAAAGTTTGATTTACAGATTAAATATGTGGCTTACATAAATAACCAAACCATGTACGAGTATAAACTACCGTTATCACCATCTAAAAGCTATACTACATGCGGAACGATAAACCTCTATAAATCACGACTTTTATGATAATTTATTATACAAACTAATTATATTAATGATTTTTATTTTGTGAATGCTTTTTCTATAATGTCAGATTTTTAATCTAGAGATTTAATATGTCATCCTATTGTTTAACATGTTTGTTATTAAGATTAATATAAATAATTTTCTTCTTGAAAATTCAAAATTCCTGGGTTTGATTTAGTATTCAAATGAAAACTAGTTTCAAAATATAGTTATATTAATATAAGTAAAATTCTCTTATGGATTAATATAAGTCGCCAGTTTTAAAAATTATATTAATTTTTTTTTATATAGATCGTGATTGAGCAAGCAAATGTTTTCAATTTTATGCCGATCTCTCACATCCACATACGGAGTTAGCTAACATATAATTAATGCATGTGTGTACGTATGCCTTTACGTGGATGGTTAACTTTTTTCTTCCTTTCTTTATTTTAAATATAAATTTACACATGAATTACTAATTTTATAGTCAAATCCTTAATGTAAAACTTTATTTGATATGAATCAATCATAAAAATATAAAAAAATATTTATTAAATTATTAAGATTCATAATTAATTTTTTTTTACTTTGAATCATAACTATTTAATTAATAAAATTTTAATCGATCCTTATTTTCATCTAAAAGTTTAGAATCCTTTGGTTCTAGAATATATAAGTTATTTTCATTTTTATTTTCTTAAAAAATATAAAATGTTGAAGAAAACGTGTACTGCCACAACATTATTGTAAACTGTTATATCAACATTGTAGTTTGACTGTAAATGTTATGACGCTCAACATTTGATTCGTTGGTAAAATGGTTAGATTGATTTTTTTCTCAATTTACGGGTCACATTGAGTACAAAAAACGTTTAGGAAATACACTAGTTTTTTTCCTTCCAAAAATTTGAGAGCCTCAATTACCAATAAAACATATTTTTTATTTTAATGACACCTTTGTGTGCTCTTACAATATATATATATATATTAAAATTTAATTGATGTTCAGTATGCATTAACATCATATTTTTATTATAAATTAAAATATATTTTGTGTTATAGAATTTTTCTTATCAACTTTATTACGGTATATTTGCATAATTCACATGTTAAAATTATATAATAATATTTTAATAATTATAGTTTAATTTTATTATTTAATAATTATTTGTTTAATTTTATTTTAAAAAATTAGATACCAAGTACATTTTCTTTATTTTTATATTTAGATTCAAGTTTTCATTTATATCAACTAAACATATTTCTAATTTTTAAAAAAGCTGAAGATAAAATTATTTTTTAAAACCAAATGTACGCTTAATGTTTGATTTAATTAGTTTTTTCCGTTAAAAAGTCAAGAAACTCCTCAAGTTATACAACAGTTTCAATATTTTTTACAGTATTGGATTTAAATGAATCAATTAATGAATATTGATTGTTATATGAAAAAGAATTGAATGAAAAGTATATTTTCCTGTAATATACACCAATCCGTATATTTTCCACTCAACTTTCATCAATTGTTAAATGAAAAGTAAACCGACATATAGATCGAAACTTAAAGAATTGAATGAAAAATAATTACGAGAAAATCAAAATAAAAAGAATCCCAGACTAAATACCAATAATAGTTTCCTGTAATATTAACAGTTAAAAAAGGAAGAAATAAGAACCATCAAGCCAAAAGGGAGATGAACAATATGTGTCATTTTACCTATAATGGAAATTAGAGTTAGATCTCCCTTTGTTTCCCTTCCAACCCTATGAACCTGCAAGGCGAAAACCTGACCTTATACTCTGAGATTGTCTCAAGTTTCGGCGACCAGTCTTGTTGTTTAGACCCAACCAGTGTTTCGTAATGCTTCTTCAGCTCCGGCGTACTGCACAGAAAACCATTCCCACCACCGCTCCCAATTTCATCTCCTTCATTGCTTTTAGTAATCAAACTTGTTATAAACTCGGGCACCACTTTCATCAAAACCCTACCATCGGCACCTTTTACGTACTCGAAAGGGCAAGCGCCGAAGTTGATCGGAGCAGGTTTAGGGCTAGAGCTAGAGTTTAAGGCGGCGAGAGAAGAAGCTGTCAAGACATTGCATGCAAAGCGATCGAGGGGGAGAACAAAGTAAGTTCGTCCTGGAATGAGATCGTCGTTCATGGATAAAGCCGGGATGGGGTGACCGATGAAGAAAGAGTCTGCATGGCAAACCATCTTGTCCGGGAACTGAAACATGACCTCGCCGGCGATGTGTTTTCCGGTTAGGGTTCTCGTGTTTCCTTCCCAGAATATCAGCTTCACTGAATACCTTGGATTTGAATGGAAACAATAAGCTAATGAATTTCCCATCAATATAGGTATAAACAATACAAGGATCTGAGAGAAAAATGCTTAATCAAATGGATTATATTGATGTTTGTGTATATATAATAAGAGAAAACAAACAAGAGGAAAGGGTTTAATTTGGTAGTTTATAATGCAGAGGGAAAGGCTTGACTTGGATAAAGTCCATTTTTGTTTTGATGTAGTGATTGATGGAATTAGTTGGCGGTCATTGGTCAACAATGCCGGCCCTCTCTCGTATATACACACATTTATTATTTCAACTTTTCTAAAAATGCACATTTTTCTTAATGGTAGTTAGCATCAATGTTCAAAGAAATTCAGATTGAAATAGAAATAATAATAAAAGTATGGAAAATAGTAAAATTGTTCAATTATGCTTTTCACGGTGAACATTAACATTTATGTACGTAGGTTATGCGATAATGTGGAAGTATTGGGCAACTTTTGATTATGATATTCCAGTTTTCTTCTTTTGGGTAAACTACTGAAATAACCACACTACTATAAGGTCGGTGTCAATAGAATCACTATACTTTCAATTTTATCAGTGTGACTGTATAATTATTTAAATGATTTCAATCAAGTTATCCGTTGTTAACATTTAATAGATGTGTTGATGTAACAATTAATAAAATTGATATAATGACACATTTGATCCTCAATACTTATACATTCAATCAATTTAGTTTTATTTTTAATTTAAGTTAATAAATTTAATTAAATAGTTTTGATTAATATTATTTTATAAAATACATATGAATTTATCTAAATAAGAAAAAATATAATAAAATCATAATAAAAGAATGTTTAAAATATATTATGACAAATAATTCTAAAAATCATGTGGTTAAAAAATATATGTGTAGTTTAGTTGTGTATTTATGGTCTATCTTATTTATCTATAACTGTATATATTGTTAATCAATTATAAATTACTTGTTCAAAAATATATTATTATATTAATTTTTAAGAATTATATTTGTCAATTTTTTTAAGAATTATTTTCTTTTCTTTTGGAACAAATTATTTGCTTATTTATTAATGTTGTATTAATCACTTTTAAGTTACATGTTAAAAAAAATGTCCTAAATAGATATTTTTTTAAAAAAAAATCTCTTAACTTTATTTTATTTGATGCACTGGTATTACTGGAAAAAGTTAAAATTTAAACTTTTAAATATAATTTTATTTAATTTTAATGTATTTTTAATATTTTATATTAATGAAATTATTTATTATTTTACAAATTCATTAAAATTGATATTATATATTTTATGGTTTTAATATTATTAATTTTCTTTCATAATAATTTTTTAAATTTTAAAAATTAATAATCTAATTTTTAATTTTTAAAAACATAAAATTTAATAATATATATTTAAAAAAATCAATCATAAATATTATAGTATTTAGCACACTCAAAAGTTTTGAAAAGAGAAGGAAGAAAAGCCTTCCGCTTGTACTTTACCCTTGGAGAAGGGCGAAGAGAAAAGTGAAACGTGGGGAGGCAGATATTTTTGTATGATGACGTGACAGAAATTGATTGGATATGGCGCCCATTAAAACGTCAACTTCGGCGGGGGGGTGTTTCCTGGTGTTTTTTTAGTTTTTTTCTCAAAGCTAAAAAATTATTAACGAATTAAGACAAGTAAATGCTATCCGATCTGTAAAATTCCATCGACCGTTGGAGAGAGAAAGAAAGGAGACCAAGATCAAAGTTTATAATCCCTAATTTAACTTGGAAATTCATTTGAATCTTGAACTTTTTAAAATCAATATTATTTGATTAAATTGTTTCGGCTTATCAATTCTTGTTGTAGCTAGAGAGGCTCTAGTCTTCTTTGCTGTATATTTTAAAATAAACGACGACGATGAAGAACACCGAAAGACTCGCCAATTTGGCATTAGCAGATTTGCCTTTTATTGATATATTCTTGATTAATTTCACTTTATTATTACAATTTTTGTTTGCTTTTGAAAGAATTCCTTTCTTATTTGGATAATCTCTTTTCGTTTCTTTATTCAGTTGTTCAATTTAGTTGAGTAGGAGCAGAGAGGATTTAGTTAGTTAATGTGTCTTTTGGTTTGAGTTGCAAATAAATTGATAACTGATACGAAAGAAATGATGTGAGAGTGAAATTTGGGAATGTGTAGTTTGGTAAAATGGGGTAGCTTTGATATTTAAGACACGAATAATCTGTCTTATTTATAAAGTAATAATGGATTACATGCAGCGGCGATGTACGCTGAAATCCAAATTTCCTTCCGGTAATGACTTATTTTATTGATTGTGCCTATCTGAAATTTTATTTGTGACCACCTCATATAAGAATTGTGTGTTTAATCTATATATGTCCACCTTAAAAAATATTTATAGATCCGCCACTCATCACATGTGGAAAATTTAATGGGATTAGATCTCATTGGATCTAAATCTTTGCAGTTTTGAAGACAAGAAAAGAAACAAAAAAGAACATTATTTTCGGTTCTATTTTATGGGACGATTTAGAATTTGTGGTATACTTTATTCACTCGCTTATTTTAATTTTTAATCTTATATGATTTTGTTCTTCACACTTTTGTTTCCTTGTATCAACTTTTTTATGAACCAAAAAGTAATAAGCAAAAGCAGCAATTAGTAAATGAGCCTTCTCATTGCATACCCCCACCCTTCTTTGTTCAAATGCATTATTAGGTATCTTGCTGAATATACTGGTGAGATGATAGATGTCGGCCTTGTGGCTGATTCTTTTAGAGAATATTTGGAACCAAGCATGTTCTTATTGTGATTAATGTCAAATTTGAAAAATCTAAGGAGCCACATGTGTGCTTAGGAAGTTGGAGTCTTTGTAATAGCATCCTTAACTTGTTAAATGTAGGGTTGAAATTGGCACCGCTTGTCGTGAAGGTAGACCCTAATTTGAATGTTACTTTGACTGCATGCCTCACAGTATATGTGGGTTGCTATCGTTCTGTGAAGCCAACTCCACCATCTGTGAGTATTATAACATTTAAATTGATTTTTACCATCTTTTTTTGTCATTAAGGTGTATAGATCAAAATTTGCTGATAATGTCATGTTTTGTACAGGAGACAGTCTAACGAGCACGCTATGCGTTTTCCATTTGTTGGGAGTGCAATGTTGTTATCACTTTTCTTGCTGTTCAAGTTCTTATCAAAAGACTTGGTTAATGCTGTACACGCTATTTCTTTGTGCTTGGAGTCATCGCGCTTTCGTATGTTCTTTCCAGATGGATTTGATGCTACATTTTACCTTTGTACAACTATTTTTCCTGATGTCATATTTGTTTGTATAATCATCTTATTTATTCTTTCTGCCATCATTCTAAGGGCGACGATTGTGCCTGCCATAAAACGCTTCTTGCCAAATCATTGGAATGAGGACCTTATAATTTGGCGTCTTCCATACATCCACTGTATGCCCCTTCATTATTCTTTTGAAGTTGTCATATTCAGTTTTATTTGTAAGAGTGTTTTTTTTAAAAAAAGTTTTTGAGCTGGATGTAACCTTTTATTTTACTTTTGTATGCCCCTTCCAGACATCCACTGTATCCCCCTTCCAGACATCCACTGTATGCCCCTTCATTATTCTTTCCTCTGATTTTTACTTTTGTTATAACTGTTGCTTCAGCTGTATCACTTTATGACAGGAAGTTATACCAGTATTCTTTAGTGTTTCTTTCTGAGTGCTTTTATGTTATTCGTAATCTCTCTGAAAACTACTTTAGATTGGTTTCTTTTATGGAGAAGGAAGTTCTATGCTGACAGGAGGAACTTTTTTAAATTTATTTTTTTATTGAAGGATACTAGGTACTTTACGTTTTCTGGCTTTCTAATTTTTAAGTTCTGTTTCAATTTTGTTCCAGGATTTGCCTTTGGAATTTACATAGATCCAAAACAGAATTAATTCTTTGATTGTTGTGATACCTTTTCTTTGGGACTCTATGTTCTTTTGGCAGTTTATGAGCACTCTATATCCGTGATTAACTCTTTAGAATTCTTATTTGATCTAGCTGATATTACCTTGCTTGTATTATTCAGAATGGTGTTTTTCCTTATGCCTTTCCTAAACATTCTTAAACAGCTTTTGAGATCGAGTTCACAAGGTCTCAGATCGTAGCTGCAATCCCTGGAACCTTTTTCTGTGCATGGTATGCTTCACAGAAGCATTGGCTGGCTAATAACATTCTGGGTCTTGCTTTCTGCATTCAGGTTTGGCTGAATACCTATTTTATTAACTTTGCTATTTTCTATCGAGTTAATTTGGTGCTTGATATCTAATTCCTTTTCTATGATTTTGCCATGAGACCCAGACAAAACAATATTTTTAGGTATATTTCTTGTCATAAATCAAACACTGAAATTGGAGGTTCATATTTTGGTTAGCTGAAAAGTATCTCCGGATGACCATATTACAAAATGGAAAATCTGTTCCTTTTCCCATGCATTTTAAATTGTCTTAACAGATTTTGATTTATCATTTGCTTCAGCCTGTCAAGTCCTTTAGATATTGACTATGAAATAATTTATGTTGGAATGTCGTTGATAACTTGATACAATCAAATTTGTGGCTAGGGTTCAATTAAGCAGTTCTATGATTATGCAAGTATTCATTTTCTTTAAGTTTTAACAATTTTATGATGACAATATGATTCATCTATATTTCATCACCTTGTTGGCTTTTTCTTTTTCCTCCTATTTATCGAAGTTTATGGCTGTTCTTTGTCAATTGGAATGCACATATTAGCTAGGCTTTGTTTGAAGCTTCCATTGTTGGTTTTTGCAGGGAATTGAAATGCTCTCTTGGATCTTTTAAGACTGGTGCTATTCTCTTGGTAAGAAGTGGATTTGCGGTTTTAGTTGGTTATTCATGGGAAGTGTCAAGTGTTTATTCCATGTTAGTGAGACAAGCTAGCTTCATAATTTATTCATTTATTTATTTTAACAAGTGTAGCAATGTTTGCATTTTCAGCGGATTTTGA